TATGAGACAGTGATCAGTATTTATAAAAGATAATTTTCTAACTACGATTGCCAGTTGATCAATCTCGAATAACGATCATCAACTTATAAAATTTACGTCCGATCACCATTTTTATTTGATGCTGAAATTGCTGTAGATCAAATTCAGTTTAGGTGATCACTATAAGTCAGTGATCAAGCTCAAATTTTTATCACGATCTGATCTCGTGTGGACGTATTCAGTAATTGATCGAGCACAATTTTAAAATTAATCTTATTTAATCTGAAATTTGGATTCTGGATTGGTGATTCTGGTCAGTGTGTCATGATTATTTCTTTACAAACACATTTTCTAATCGATTTGTGATTACGATCAAATTCTATGTGTGATCAAGATTAGTAATAGATCAAGCTCAAACTGTAACCACGATCATTGTGTCAAGTTCTACATGTTTACACTGACGATCTCTCAAACTGTGATCGGGGAGATCTATCATTAAGTGTTCAAATTTAATTTGTAATTGTGATTAAGGCATCAATTGATCTTTTTTAAATCTGTTTTATGATCAATAATTGATCACGCCCAAACTGTTCATCAAGTTATTTCTGATGTCACGACCGATTTATGAATTGATCAAGTTCATCTTAAGATCTGTAATTGATTAGATTATTCTGCAATTGCAGTTACAAACCGATCGTGGTGAAAGTGTAACCACAATCATTTGATCAAATTCAATTTACAATAACGACAACAAAATGTGGTCTGCATTGATTTTTATCAATAATTGATCAAATTTAATTTGTAATTACGTTCACTAAATAATTTGGGATTATGATCACCAATTCTTCAATTCGTAATGACGTCAAAGTCTGGTCTGCAGTGACCTTTATCAATAATTGATACAAATTTATTTGTTATTACGATCACTGAATGATCTTGCTATTTTGTGGTTATGATCACCAATTCTTAACGACGTTAAAGTCTGGTCTGCAGAGATCTCTATCAATAATTGATAAAATTTAATTAGTAATTACGATCACTAAATGATCTTGCTAATTTGTAGTTATCATCATCAATTCTTCAATTTCAAATAAATTGTGAATAAGAACGTTGATTAATCATGTCAAATCTGTGGTGATGATCAATGATTGATCAAGCCCAAACTGTTCATCAAGTTGCATCTGAGGTCACGACCGATTTATAAATAGGTCCACAAATACATCAAGATCAACTTGAAATTCATGATCAGTTATTATTGATCAGAATTATTTTGCAATTGCGTTCTCAAACCGATCCAGTTTATATTATGTTTATGATCAGCAATTAATCAAGTTGAATCTGAGATTATTTTCCGAACAGGATCACGAATTGTAATTCAGTCAATTAAGTAATTGATCAAGCGCAACTCTTCGTTGATTAAACCCCTTCAAAATCCAAGTTTTTATCAAAAATTTTAAAATTTCTAAACACTTTTCAGATATTTTGTTCCCTAAAACATCCATAAACAGATTATATAACATTTTTTCCCCCATAACTTAATAAAATCAATTAAAAGTTTAATCATTTCGAAAACTGTAACTTTTAAAAGATAAACATCTCATTTTCACTTTCAAACAAATCAATTGCTAAATTAAGTTAATTTTTGTTACACACCAAACAAAAAAAAGGTTTAATGAACCTCATGACAAACGTATAAATAGTTGTCATTTTGCATGTAAATTACCTTTAATTACTATTTAATACCTTTCATGAGTACGAGTATGACACTTTAGTTTCTTCGGTTTTCTTAAATCGAGAAAAAAAAAAAAACGTTTTCTTAAAACTCATGTTGAAAGTGAAAGCTATTAAATCGAATCAAATTGTATTAAAACATTATTTTTTGTTAGTGCAAAAATACCAACAATCATTAATTTACACATTTAAATAGATGAAAAGGTTTTGTTAATGTTTCGATAAATTTTCTAAGTGAATAGTAAATTATCAATTATTTAGAAAAAAGTAATAAGAAATCGTAATAATGTTATTTATAACAATTATTTATAATTTCTTTAATTGTGGGTTTTTATAGTAATGTTGTATTTAGTTATTTAATAAAAAAGTAATTTATTGCTATTTGTATAAATATTCATAAATAAATTACTATTTATTTAGAAAACACGTAAATGTAATTTATTTTGGTAATTTTTTTAAAACAATAATTTTTTAACTATCGCCAGACAATTTTATTAAATTTAAATGTGCTCTGGTTAAAAAAAATAAATAATCAAGAGAATAAATTAAAACGCAACTTTGACCATCGTCGTTTAAATGTAGATATGACGTTTAAATCAGCTAAAAAGAGAAGATTTTACGAGAGTAAATTGAAGTTGTCAATGTTGTGTTTGTGTGAAGCGAACATTTAATGTTCGTACCCCCTTAAAATGTTTAGCTTTCTTTGGTTTAAAATTTAATTTAAACTTAAAATTAAGAAATGATCTTATTTATGATGCGCCTTAAAGTATGTTAAACTTTTCTATCTTTGCAGTAATGTTTGATATGATATGAAAATAAAACGAAAGATACTTTTAGTTATTTGTGAAGAGGAATTTCATCTTTACGTCGTAGTCCTTAAGAAAACTAATTTGTGATCATGTTTACTATCAATTTCTGACCATGATCAATGGCGATCACTTACAGCTCCATCAAATGTTTGATTATGATCATTAATCAAGATAGGCTCATTATTGCGATCTCTAAATGATCAAGCTTGTTTTGTGTTTGCGATCAGTAACTGATTAAGTTACTTTGGGGTTATGATCTTAAATTGATAATGATCTTTTTGATCTGTGTAAGCGATCGATCACTAATTTATCGCGTTAATTGAACAGAATCACTTTGTGATCAATGTAATCTTCAGAAAATTAAATGTTTGCTTATTTAACGTTGTGATCATGATCACTAATTGATGAAACTAAATTCGTAATGGCGATCAGTCAATACTTCATTAAATGTTTGATTATGATCACTGATTTTTGAAAGTATTCTATATTCAAAACCATCTTGTGATCATGATTACTAATTGCTCAAACTAAGTTCGTTATCGCGATCACTAACTGCTAGATCATATCTTTAGTTATGATCACTGATTTTCTCAAACTCGAAAAGATTTTACTAACTAATCGAGTTAATTTGTGAGTATGATCTTTAATTAAACAGAATCACTTATTGATCAATATAATCATTTGAAAATTTAATTTTTATTTATTGATCGTTGATCCTATATTATCATTTATTGATCTAACTTAATCCTTAATGGCGATCACTTACTGCTCCATTAAATATTTGATTATGATCACTGATTTTTGAAGCTAATGAAATCATGATTACTAATTGATCAAGCTAAGTTCTTAATTGCGATCACTAACTGCTCCATCAAATCTTTGGTTCATTGATTTTTTTATTCTTAAACAGATTATTGATCTGTGTTTGCGATCACAAACTAATCGATCACATATTGATCAATAAAATTAAAAGAAAATTGTATTTTTCTTTCTTTAACATGGTGATCATGATCACTAATTGATCAAACATAATACGTAATTGCGATCACTAAGAGCTCCACCAAATGTTTTACTACAATCACTGATTTGTCAAGCTTTTGAAGCTTAAGGGAATATCTACATGATCATGATTAACCAACTGGTCAAGCTTAGTTCTTTATTGCGATCATTAACTGTTTCATCTTATATTTGATTATAATCAATGATTTTTCAAGCTCAATTCCTTAAAGAAATTCAAGAAAAGTCGTGTTTTTGTCAAAGCCAGGTTGTGCATATGATTACTAATTGTTCAAGCTAATCGTAATTGTGATCACTTACTGCCCCTGCAAATCTTTGGTTATGATCACTGATTTTTCAAAACCAAATGGATTTCTTATTTATATTCGCGATCAATTAGTGATCGCGAGTTAATTTTGATTGATCTTAAGGAAATATAATTTTTCTTTACTTAACTTAGTGACCATGATCACTAGTTGATCAAGCTAATCTGTAATTGTGACTACTAATTTATCAAAAAAAAAAAAATGCTTGGATATGATCATTAATAAATTAAGCAAACAATTTATGAATAGGATCACTAAATGATCACTAGTTTTAAGTCAATTTTAACAACCAATCATGTAAAGTGTTCAAGATCACGATCACAAATAAATCAACTTAAATTTTTGATCGCTATCGGTATAGAAATCAATTTTTCAATTTAAAATCTCAATCAATTCCTAAAAAAAATTAATTTATAAGTCTTAATTGTAGATGACGATCACAAATAAATCAACCTCTATTTGTTATCACGATCGGTAACAATATCAGTAAATTATAATGTTTAATTCGAGATCACGATCACAAATATATAAATCAACCTGAATTTCTGATCGCGATAAGTAAGTGATCAGTTCTTCTACTTTAAATTGACTAAATATCGTTGCTGCAAGCTAGTATGTGATAATATGCATGATCACTAAATGATAAAGTACAATTTAAGATCATGATCAATTTGCAAGCCGGATCAATAATTGTAAAAGCTTAATTTGTAGTCATGATCTGTCATTTCTCGGGCTTAATCTGTGATGTCAAAAACGGCCGATGTTCCAGTTTTGCACTTAAAATGTTTCCATTTTTCATTAAAACAAATTCAAACACAATGACATTTGTTAAATTTATAATATTTTTTTTTTTAATTCGCTTATAAATTAAATTTTAAATAATTAAATTTACATTACATTTTGTGTGATTTCAATTAAAATTTTGTTTTTAATCAAACTTACAACTTAATTTAATAGAAATAATTAAAACAAAAAACACTATGGATTATAACTAATCTTTTTTTCTCTAGATGCCTGGTAAATATGTAAAATTAAATGATGTGCGTTTTACTCAGTATTGCATTTTGTGTCCAGTCGTTACCTTGATTATACTATTAGACCTAAAGGGTCTACAACCATGGACACCCAAGTCTCAAGTATAACCAAAGAACAAGATTGATTTTTTTTGTAAATTATGCTGAGCATAATTTATACATACTCGTTTCTTCGTACCAATCAAATAATAAATAACTATTATTTAAATATTTAAAAAAAAATTAATAAAATAATCACCCAAAATGAAAATTGTGACAAAGAAAAATATTGCATCTAAATTTTCTTAAACAAACAAGAAAAAATTATTTATAAATACTAGAATATAATAATAATAATAATAATTAGTATTAGACTATAAATTAATGTAGATTTAAAATAAATAACTGCATGAATAGATTAAAATAAAAATTAAATAATATCGTGATATACAAAATACAAATTACACATACAAATACAAATAACTATAGATACAACATTCATTTCGCATTAACTTAAAAACGATAAATAGAAAAAGCTAAACTTAAATGCTTGCGCGGATTTCAGACCCGGCCTCTTTAACCAAGTTTAACGGTAATAACTTGACCACTATTGCGCTCAACATAACTATACTAGAATTGTAAAATTTGATTTATCCAGTCTCTGAACTCGGAGATTCTTGTATAAACACCCGGTTGATTAGCCTCCGCACAACCAATACCCCATGAAATAACACCGCCCAATTGGAAACGTTTATCGGATTCTCGCTGCAAAACCATGGGACCACCTGAGTCACCTAAAAGTAAAAAAAAAAACATTATAAAATCTTTCCAATTATATAACAAATTCCAAATCTATTACCTTCACATGAATCATAACCACCCTTCTTCCAACCCGCACATATAAATATATGTGGTATATGTTCTATATAACCCGCTGCTCTATACATGGACTCACAAATGGTATTATTAATAACGGGCACTGCTACCTCTTGCAAAACACTGGGTAAAGGACCATCTTCATAGAGACGACCCCAACCAGTTACAAAAGCTGTCTGTCCTATAAAGTCCTCATCATTTTCGGGCACACATACGGGTATAATATTGGGTTGAAATACTACCGGTTCATAGAATCTGTCATAGAAAAATTTCATTAGTTTTCTTTAGTTAAGGAAATTTTATATCTCAAACTTACCTTAATAAAGCTAAATCGTACTCGAAAGTTCTCGGATCGAATTGTGGATGTGAGGCTACAATTTGTACACGTCTTTCTTGATAACCATAGGGTTCTTCCTCTTCGGCTAAATCATATTCACCCAGTCGCAATAGAAGATCAGAAGGTGGTACACTAAGGGGAAGATAAAATGTAAAACAAAATGTTAGACTCATTTCTTATACTATAGTCTTATATATAGTCTAGTCCTTATGCTTTCTGAAATTTTCAACTGATCTTCGAACAAACTTGACCCAAAAAATGTTTGAACTAGTGGTAAAAATGTAAAATTTTAACAATTGCAGAATAGTGTAGATAGTTTCTTCAAGTCAAATAAGATCTATTTAAGAACAATTGGTGGAGCTACGACCAATTATCGGTCGATTCGAAAATACAAAACACTTGCGTGTTAACTTTTGTTCCTATATGATTATTTGTTAATGAATTATGTGCGTTTAACTGAATTTCGGAGGTGGACCTATGGGAGCTATGATGCCTTATGGACCGTCTCGGAAAAATATATTCAGATTTATTCGATTCAAATTTTATTCTGATATCATTTTTAGTTCATAAATTATTAGGTGATTTTCGGGAGTGGACTTTATATGGGAGCTATGAACAATTATGGGCAGATCCGGGAAACAAATGCGATGAATAATTTGTACATTTGTACGGTTATTTGTTAATGAATTATGTGCGTTTAACCGATTTTCGGAGGGTTATTTCAAATGGGAGCTATGTATAACCTATTATGGACCGACCCGGAAAAAATTTCGTATTATAATTTGCACTATATTCAAAAAAAATTTCGTGTTAAAATTTGCTCCGATACGGTTATTTGTTAATGAATTCTGTGCGTTTAACTGATTTTCGGAGGTGGACCTTATATTTGAGATATCCCCTATTATCGACCGATCGGGATTTATATGTATTCAAAAAATATTCGAGTTGAATTTTATCCCGATATCACTATTAGTTCATGAGCTATTTACGATTAAAAGATTTTGGGTAGTGGACTTTATATGGGAAATGATCAATGACCAATTATGGGCCGTTCCGAAAAAAATTTTCATTGAACAATTTGTATATTTACGTGTTGAATTTTGTTAATGAATTCCGAATATCGGTTAAACAGATTTTCGGAAGTGGACCTTCTTTGGAACCTACGGTAAATTGTGGACCGATCCAGGTTTTAGTTGGTAATACAATTTCTAAAGGCATTAAATTTATATATGCAAAATTTTGTGTTTATACCGATATTCTAGGGGAAGTTATAAACAATAAATCCATTTTCCGGGAGCATGTAAATTTGAATGGGGGCTATAGGGAATTTTTAACCGATTCTAATAATTTAAACCGTGCTAATCTATGTTCCGAAAAAATCCTGTGACGCTCAATGTTTTCATGGGTAGTTTCGGAATTTTGTTCATATCCCCGTTCGTTATGAACCGATATTTTAAATAGAAAACTTCTCGAAGGCATTTCCAATAGAATTATTAAAGATCTAAACCCCGAAGATATCTACGGTCTTCCAAAAATGTATTTCAATAAATATACCGATAGACGGGCTGACATAGCTTGATCGATTTCGCTATATATAAGGATCCAGAATAAGCATATGTATATACATTATAAGATCGAAAAAATATATTGTATACACGATGGTGATTCACTTACTTATCAACACAATGAGCCGCTGTGATAGCCCAGTTTTCATTCAACAAAGCCGCTCCACATTTATGTAAATACGTCGAAGTACGCCATTGTCTTAGGGAAATTTGCCAGGGCCAACGACCAAAAGCGGCATTAGAACCACCAACAATACGAGGTTCAGGGAACATGCGACGACCACAAACTGAAAACAACATAAAAAATAAACATTTAATTAACCAAACTACAACAACTATAAACTGAAAGAAATTCAAATTAACCTTGTCTATAGTCAACACCTTCCAAACCGGTAATAGGAGCCGATGTAGTGGAATTAAGATTTACGCTTTCCGTAGACACTTCTTCAGTGGTGGTAAAACCTGTAGGTGATATCGTCGAACTTGAAGGCGTGAAACCTTCAGTGGTAAATTGTGAGGAAGAGGATTCTGTTGTAGAACTTAATTCTGGTTGTTTAGGGGCTTCGGAAGTGGAGGTTAAAGGTTTTGCTGTTGTGCTAGAACTATCGGCAATTGTTTCGGTTGTGGAGCTGGTGGTTGTAGAGCTAGAGGAAGTTGTTGGTTTAGCCATACTAATCGGTTTTTGTGGTGGTGATATGATAACTGTGGTATTGTTCATAACAGCACTAACACTAGAGGAAACCGAAACATCCATTTCTTCAAAGGTAACATTTTCCGAGGAGGGTTCTGAAAATTAGATTTTTTTTAATAAAAACAATTGTTAAATGTTTAACATTTACACTTACCTTCCACCTTATTGTGGGTATTTAAGGGAGCCTCACTGGTTACTGGCACCCAGTCGGATATAATAGGTTGATTTGAATCTACTGGTTCTCCATTGATATTGGTCCATGTTACTAAACCTGGTTTGTGGGTAGTAGAACTTAGTAAGGGCTTTGTTGTGACTTTAAGAGTAGTTGTAGTTGTTGGTGCCTTTGTAGTGCTGCTAGTGGTAGTTGTAGTGGTTTGTGGTGTGGTAGGTTTCTTTGTGGTCGTTGTGGTTGCTGCAATTTTTTCCTCCTCAGTTGTAGTTCTGGGTGGTGCAGTAGTAGTTGTTGTTGTGGTAGTGGTTGTAGGTTTTGTTGTAGCTTTAGTTGTCGTTGTTGTAGTAGGTTTAGGCACTTTAACAATACTAGCTGTTGGTTTGGGTCTTGGTCTTGGAGCTAAAGTAGTTTTATTTGTAGCTTGACTTGTGCTACTAGTTTGGAAGGTTTGTGTTGTGGAAGTGGTATGATTAGTTGTTTTAACATCTGAGATTGTGGTTATAGCAGCTGCCGTGGTGGTGGTTATTATTGGTCTCCTAGTAGGTTTAACTGTAGTTCTCTTAATGCTTGTGGGTTTCTTTGTAGTTGTAGGTTTCCTAGTAGTTTGTGGTTTAGGTTTTATTGTTGTGATTTTGTGTGTTGTTGCTGCAGCTGTGGTGCTGGTTGTAGTATCTTTAGGTTTTGTAGTTGTTGCCTTAGGTGCTGTGGTTGTAGTTGTACTGCTGCTGCTTGTTGTTGGCGGTTTTGTAGTTTTGTGTTGCACTCTTTCTGTGGTAACAAAATCAAACACATTTGTTGCTTCTGTGGGAGTAAAGGCAGTGGTTTCTACTATTTGGTAGGTAAATAGCTTAGTAGGTGTTGTAGTCATATCTATGGGCAATTCATCTCTTTGTTGTGTTGCTTCTGTGGTAGTTAGCATAGGCCGTTTTGTAGTAGTAGTGGTGCTTGTAGTTGTGGTTATTCTTTTAGTTGTGCTAGAAGGTGTAGTTTTCTTTTTTGTGGTTGTATTGTGAGAAGGTTTTGCTCCTCCTGTTGTATATTTGGTGGGTTTTGCTGTAGTTCTTATCACAAAATGCGACTGTTTGTGTGTAGTTTGTTGGCTAGGTTTATAAGTTGTGGTCGTTTTTAAGGGTTTGCCCGTATTCATGTTGGTTTCCAAAGTAGTGGGTCTGGGGGTATCATTCATAGTGGTAGTAGCAAATGTTTGTGTTACGCTATTTAGCATTTGGGTGACATCTTGTTGGTTTGCTAAACTGGTACTACTGCTACTGCCAGTAGTGCTGCTGCTGCTACTACTAATACTACTACTGCTAGTGAAGCTTGTATTGCCATGTTGATGCAGAGGACCTAAAGTGGTGAGCTTAAATAATGCACTGGTGGGTACTGTGGAAGATTCTGGTGTAAAATGATGAGAAATGGTATTTTGATCTATGCTATTATCAGCTATTTCAGTTAATTCCTCTTCCTAGAAAAATAAAAATCCAACAATAAAATTTGCTCTCTTAAATTCAATTAAAATACCAACTTACTTTAATATCACAGCATGATCCAAAATAGAAACGATCTATGCAGGTACCCAAATGTGTACCATTTTGTTTGATACAGTCAATAGCAAACATACACACACCAGATCTGCCCGATTTTCTTACTATACAAGGTAAATGTCTTATATTTCTGCCAGATTGAACTGAAATGAAGAAAGACAGGAAGTCATTAAAACCAAATTAATATAATTTTTTAGAAAAAAATGTCTATTTTGTATATGATTTATTAAAATTTAGACACATTGTCTATATACAGCAGATTTTCAAAACTCCTAAAATAGAAAACTAAAAAGTCTTGCTTTTGTTTTTCTTTCTCCATTTTTCTTTCTTTCCAAACTGGGTTATATTTCGGTATTTTGATTATTCTTTCCTTTTTTTATATATTTTTATTGCTTTATCTTTAAGTAATTTCATATAATTAAAGTAATAAATTTGAAAAATAACTTCCTCCAATGTGTGTATGTATGTGCTGTGCTATGGATATGGGGAAAATGCTATTGGTGTCTTTTTCATTGTCAGCGTTGTCTAGATATTAAGTTGTGGTTTGTTCGTAGCTGTAAAATGCGGTCACTCAACGGCTAACTGACCAAAGCTATTTACAAGTTGAGAAACCAACCTCAGCCAGCCACTTAAGCAAACCAGCAGCTGCTTTGCAAATTATTTGTTTTATTGCCTTAGAAAGAAACCAAAAAAAGTATATATTGCTCATCACTATTTCCAGCAGCAGCTACTCATCTGCAACACCATTATTATTGTCATTGCCGGCATTATTATCTTTTTTTCTTCTCATGTCTTTTTGCCATATATTACTTTTATTTCAGTCATTTAGTTAAGCGACTTGTAAAAATTTTAAACTCTAAAACGTTTGCTTGCAAAATCAAATTTGTGCTAAAATATTTGCTTAACAAATACTTCAAGAATTAAGCGGTTTTATGCTTAAACAAGTGGAGATATTCATTTAACCATTACCAATACGAAATAAACTGTCAATAATTTAATAGATTTTTTTTTGCTTTGCCATGGTTTGCGATAAAAGCTATAAACACTGGTAGAAAAATGTTGGTAAACATGTTTAGTATGGTCTATAGTTAGGACTATAGTCTGGCCTATAGTTAGGACTATAATCTGGCCTATAGTCTGTATTATAGTATGGACTATAGCCTGGTATATAGTCATGACTATAGTCTAGTTTAAAGTCAGGACTATATTCTAGTTAATAGCCTGGACTAAAGTTAGTACTATAGTCTATACTAAAGTAAGAACTATAGTCTAATCTACAGTCTGGGCTACAGTTTGGTTTAAAGTCTGGACCATAGTCTGGTCTATAGTTTGTACTATAGCCTGTACGATAGTATGTACTATAGTCTGAACTAAATTCCAGTATGTAGTCTGAACTATAATCTAGTCTATTATCAGGACTTTAGTCTAGCCTATAGTCCGAACTCTAGTCTGGTCTTGTCTAGTGTATAGTCTGGACTATAGTCATGACAAGTGTATAGTCTGGACTATAGTTTTGTCTACATTTTACTCTATAGTCTAGTCAATAGTCTTGTCTATAGTGTACTCTAAAGTCCAGTCTATATTCTAGTCTATAGTCTAGTCTGCTGTCTAGCTTATAGTCTAGTCTATAGTCTAGTTTTTAGGTTGTACTAGTAAATGGCCTAGTTGATAGTCTAAAGTCTAGTCTATATTATAGTCTATAGTCTACTCTATAATCTGCTATATAGTCTAGTCTATAATATGTAGTCTATTCTATAGTCTAGGTTATGGTCTAGTTTATGGTCTACTTTATGCTCTAGTCTATAGTCTATTCTGTAGTCTAGTTATGGTCGAGTCAATGGTCTAGTCTTTAGCCTAGTATATTGTGTAGTCAATAGTCTATTCTGTAGTCTAGTCTATAGTATAGTCTATACTTAAGTTCACAATCTATTCTGTAGTCTTGTCTATAGTCTAGTCTATTCTATAGTCTAGTCTATGGTATAGTCTTTAGTTTGATCAAGTTTAGTCTAGTATATAGTCTAGTCTAAAATCTGGTGTATAGTTTAGTCTATAGTCTAGTCTATAGTCTAGTCTATAGTCTAGTCTATAGTCTAGTCTATAGTCTAGTCTATAGTCTAGTCTATAGTCTAGTCTATAGTCTAGTCTATAGTCTAGTCTAGTCTGGTCTATAGACTAGTCTATAGTCTAGTCTATAGTCTAGTCTATAGTCTAGTCTATAGTCTAGTCTATAGTCTAGTCTATAGTCTAGTCTATAGTCTAGTCTATAGTCTAGTCTATAGTCTAGTCTATAGTCTAGTCTATAGTCTAGTCTATAGTCTAGTCTATAGTCTAGTCTATAGTCTAGTCTATAGTCTAGTCTATAGTCTAGTCTATAGTCTAGTCTATAGTCTAGTCTATAGTCTAGTCTATAGTCTAGTCTATAGTCTAGTCTATAGTTTAGTCTATAGTTTAGTCTATAGTTTAGTCTATGGTTTAGTTTATAGTTTAGTCTATAGTCTAGTCTGTAGACTAGACTATATACTAGTCTATAGTCTAGTCTATAGTCTGGTATATAATCTAGACTATAGTGTAGTCTATAGTCTAGTATATAGTCTAGTCTATAGTCTAGTATACAGTCTAGTCTATAGTCTAATCTAAAGTCTAGTCTACAGTCTAGTCTATAGTCTAGTCTATAGTCTAGTCTATAGTCTAGTCTATAGTCTAGTCTATAGTCTAGTCTATAGTCTAGTCTAGTCTAGTCTATAGTCTAGTCTATAGTCTAGTCTATAGTCTAGTCTATAGTCTAGTCTATAGTCTAGTCTATAGTCTAGTCTATAGTCTAGTCTATAGTCTAGTCTATAGTCTAGTCTATAGTCTAGTCTATAGTCTAGTCTATAGTCTAGTCTATAGTCTAGTCTATAGTCTAGTCTATAGTCTAGTCTATAGTCTAGTCTATAGTCTAGTCTATAGTCTAGTCTATAGTCTAGTCTATAGTCTAGTCTATAGTCTAGTCTATAGTCTAGTCTATAGTCTAGTCTATAGTCTAGTCTATAGTCTAGTCTATAGTCTAGTCTATAGTCTAGTCTATAGTCTAGTCTATAGTCTAGTCTATAGTCTAGTCTAGTCTATAGTCTAGTCTATAGTCTAGTCTATAGTCTAGTCTATAGTCTAGTCTATAGGTTAGTCTATAGTCTAGTCTATAGTCTAGTTTATAGTCTAGTCTATAGTCTAGTCTATAGTCTAGTCTATAGTATAGTCTATAGTATAGTCTATAGTCTAGTCTATAGTCTAGTCTATAGTATAGTCTATAGTATAGTCTATAGTCTAGTATATAGTCTATTATATAGTATAGTCTATAGTCTAGTCTATGGTTTAGTCTATAGTCTAATTCTGTAGTGTAGTCTATAGTCTAGTTTATTTTGTTTGATCTGGTCTACTCTTCTAGCTTTTAAAATTCGAATCTCTACAAAATGTATACTAGACCATAACAATTTTATAAAAATTTTGTTTGACCTAGCCCACTGTAAATTATAATTTATCCTTTGCTCAAGACATGTTATGTGTTATTTTTAAACACTTTATTTAAAATTCTTATAAGTGGTTTTCTTTTTTCAAGATATATTTAAACAAATTTTAGTGAAAGTTAATCGAGAGTAATAAAAATTTGATTATATTCATAAGAAAATAATAATTTGCAAATTAACAAAACGCCGAACCAAAATTTTGTGTAAATATATAATTAACATAAAAGCATTTAGTTTTAAGACGTATTTTTGGTGAAATGTTAATATTTATTTTTGAAATTTAATTAAAATCAGACAATATTTGTCAATATTTTGGTAAAAATAAGAAATTTTATTAGCATTTTTGAAAATTTAAAAGAGATTTTTAACGTTTTTTTCTGAACATATTCATCACGTGCAGACCTATTTTTAATGTGCCCTGTAGGCTTTAACATTTTAAAATTTATTATTATGTTAATTATGATTAACAGTAAATATTAATATTAAAAGTTTTTGTTTTAAAATTTATACTTGTTAATATATGAAAATTGACAGCAGATCATTGTTAGAGATTAACATTAACTTCCAGTCATAAAACAAGACAACTTTTTGATCTTACTTTAACAATCTTTCTCTTTCTTCCTCCAAATAAAACTCCCCAACCAGACAAAGTGGCAATTTGTATTTTATCGTTCTGCAATTAAGGTCAACTAAGTTGAAGTCTTTAAAATTCATACACAAAAGTTGCTTTTGGCATCAGCCAAGTGATCTTGACAGTTGTCAAGAAAAGTTCATAAATTTTATTTGAGATCTTAACGTTTGTTTTGTGTTTTTCTTTTTAAAAAAGAACGAATTTAAAGATTTTACAAGAAGATAAAGAAAATCTGAAAACAAAGTGAAAGGAATTGGGAAAAAAATTTCATTTTATTTATACAAATATTGTTATTTATTATTGAGAGTGGGGAGTTTTAAAAACTTTACTTTTGAAAAAAAATTAAAAGTAATTTTCATTATAATTTACTTGCAGAGGAAGAAGTTAAGAAAAAAACAAGTTTAACAAACAAAAACATGTTAAAAATACTATTATTAAAAGTATTCAAATCTTGTTAATAATTTGTTTATATAAATTACTAATAATTGTACCAACGAGGGTGGTTTGAAAAGTAATTTCAAAGAACAAGTAATTCTTTAATACTCTTACTTGTTTAGAATGTTACAAAATTTGCCAAAAGTTTTAAAAATTCTGATAACGTTTATTTACTTTTCAAACTGCCCTCGTTTAGTTAATACCATCCTCTATGTATAAATATTAACAACTACAAAAACCAATGAAACTAGAAGGAAACATAGTAAAAATATTCGTAATATGTGAAACAGCACGCGACCTACTTTCATTGTGACAACCAAAACAGCAAAAAAAAAAAAAAAAGTTTAAACAAATCGAAAAAAAAACATTCACTTACTCACTAAAAACAACAATAACAAAATTCAACACCTTCAAGATACAAAACAATAAATTTACTCTCTTCTACACGTACCAGTACCTACATAGAGTACAACATACTCGATACATACTTAGATACATACATACATACATGTTGAATTTAGTCAGTAGTCGAGTCAAGTCAAAAAGCACCCACAAAAACCACCACAACTACAAC